CCAATCACTTAGAACATAAAGTCCCTCAACATTCAATAGAATACAACTCCAAAAACACAACCCAATCATGTCCCACAACCAACAATAATTCCAACAACAACAACTAACAACTTTAACAACTCCAACAACTTCAACCACAACAACTAACAACTTTAACAACAAAGCCAATCCTTCCTTAATAAGTAAAAGGGGCTAGGTGTGTGGGGGAAAGGATCACCCAACACTAAAAGCTCACATACCTTGGTAGGGATCACCCCCGACGAAAATCCACGATGATCTCCTCGATTTTTCCTCTTCTTCTTCTCCTTCTTCTCTTCTTCTTCTCTTTCTTCTCTTCTTCACTCTCAAGAACCCTAACTTTCACTCTCTTAAAATGGAACAAAATGATCCAAATATCATCCTAACACAACAATATATCCTCAAAAGAATTAGCTAGGGAAAAGACCAAAATGCCCTTAATGATTCCCGGACGGATTTTCTTGTCAACTGCCCAACTTTCAAAGGGCCATAACTCGCTCATACGAACTCGGAACTGAGCAAACTCGGCGGCGTTGGAAAGATCATTCCACAAGCTTCAAAACCATAACTGGAACTACTCCTAACTCATCCTGAGATGGAAGTTATGACTGCTCAAAGTTGGCCAAAAACTCACCTTTTCCATACTTGGCCAAAAAAATCCTTTCCAAAATGAAAATTTTCAAATTTCAAGCCTCTTCTTAGCTATTTCAAATTGTCGGATGTTACATAAACCACAAATAATATGTGAACCACTGGAAAAAATATGAAGTTAGATTAAATGGATGCTATAAAAGATTGAAAGCATGGCATATCCCTTTGTCAGAGATATATAAGCTCATCAAATCTGGACAATTTGGATTGGAGTTATGAAGAATTTTTTGGTAAAGAGTGTTTTATCCTTGGTGAACTTTTGACTTACAATTACAAGAATTCCTATTGTTTTCGTGATTTTAAGACAACTAGTTTCTGCTCACGTGCGTTGCTTTTGAAGCATGTGTTTAATTTAAAAAATATATATAAAAAGTAAAAGTACAAGTTCAAAATGATGAAATGATATCTTATTTTAGTTTGTATGAGTAGTGAACTCAAGATGCCTGTTGATCTCGAAAGTTTATAGGGTATTATTACATGATTAGTTTATTAAGTCCTGTTGATCTCAAAAGTTTGCTGTTATGCTTCAACTTTCTGGCCATTGGTTCACTGGGCGTTTCGTTTTAAATTACAACAGGAGTATCGTTTTTGAATTCAGATTCATGTGAGGAACTCTATTGCAAGTCACCATATTCTTAATAGGAGAATTTTTGTCAATGATGGAAGTTTAATGTCACTACGAGGCTTATAAGATCCTAGCATTTGGTGGCTAAGAGTCTCATATACTGATAGCTCTATGATTGATATATGATTGTGAGTTCCGCTATATGGGATTTGTTAATTTTCAAAATTCTTTGTCCTGTTTTATTGTCAATACAGCATTGCTTAAAGGTCATTATAAGAGAGATGGTTATAGGTTGGTTGGTTATCCACCAGATCATCCTAAATACAATGAGCAGAAAGGGTCAGAAAATAGGAATTATGAGTATAACAGAAATTTTGATCACAAGAAAGACAAGTGTGGAATCAGCGGGAAAGGGTCAATGCCATAGGTTGATAAACTCCGTTTCCAGCAATATTGTGGCTGGCATAGTCTATGCATCCAATGCTAGTGATGTATCGATAGACTTTGCAACAAAGGTTTAACAAAATTGATGGATCACGAACCAATAATCTACATTAAGAAATAGCTTCTATTACTCAAGGTGTGAAATCTGTATGAGTTTCTGATGGGCTCAATAATACAGATGCTCAAGCAAGGTTCTCACAAGAACAGTGTTGGCAATTGCAGTAACTAGAAGATGGCATATTGATCAGATGAATGTCTACAATGCATTTGTACAAGGAGATGAAATATATATATGGAACTTCCTCAGGGAGTGTAAACAAGTATGCAGACTCTCTAAATCCTTGTATGGGCTCAAGCAAGCACCAAGGCAACGGAATGCTAAGCTATCTCAAGCTCTTATCAACAATGAGTTCAAGCAAAGTCAATATGATCATGCTAAGCTATCTGAAGCTCTTATCAACAATGAATTCATACATGTATTTCTAGTTAAAGATGAGAACAGTTCTTACTGTGCCTTGCCCTAGCGAGACTTTACTAAACAAGCAAAGAATGGTTCAGCTCAGGAACAATAACTTCAGCCCTTTCTTGTGACATTATAACACAAATATAAAACACCTGGATTAATTCAAGTCCAAAACACTGTCTTGGATTTATTCAAGGCAAAATCAGTTGTGAAATCTGTAGTTACCGAGTTTGAAAATAGTTCTGTACAGACTCATGATGGACCAAAGTTGCAGTAATCTGCTATCTCAACTTTTTTTCATTGAAGCACAACCGACGTATCATGAAAAAGAGACTATAATATCCGAAATGAGAATCTTCCGATCATAACTCAAGAAATCTAGTATCCAACACGGACGACCCTGAAGCAGCATCTACTGGAACTTCTTTTCCGTCGATCATAAATTGTTGAATTCAGCTCGTCACAATGCGTGTAATTACAAGCAGATGACAAATTTAGAATGCAATTTCTCTTTCTGCTCTTGGATTGCCAAAAAGTTGCACCATAACAGTAAACTTTCCAGATGAATCGAACGGCTACAGAGTTGAAATAGAAATGAGAGAATGAACGAATAAGTCACCCAGAGACTCTAAAATGTTGTTGATACACTTTCAGATACTGTTTATGTTTAGGATACACACAAACATATGGCAAGTGGAATTGTGCATTAACGAATCCTTATCAATAAAAGACTTAAAGGTCTTTTCTTCATCTCACCTGTTAAAGAAATAAGTAATGTTTCAACACAGAAAAGGGGAGAGTAGATTCTATGTTCTGGTTTGTAGGATTCGTTAATTTTCAAAAGAATACACAACAGACTATATCACAAGCTAAGAAATTTCTTTTATTTTTCTCTTGTTCTGTTTTATGGGATTCATTCATTCTCAGACAAACTCCTCTGAACTAGTCTTATTGGTTCAAGTAAATATTTGTTTTTTGTGAATAGGTATGTTACTTTGAGCGAAGGTGTTTTTCCCTTCAGGCATTACAGGAGGCCAGTTACAGGCTTTGTGATTAAACTAGAAGAGTCTCTAATATCCTCGAAATCAAAGAAACAGCCTACAGTCTCAAGAAGCCTTGCATCCACAGTAGCTGAGTTAATTTGACGATCAACTACAACTTGTATATCATGAGAGGACTAGACATATTGATATAAACGGTCACTTTGTTAGGGAAAATATTCATTCCAAATAGTGATCAACCACCAGATGCATTAACCAAGAGCCTAAATAAAGTGGAGAATGAGTATCTTACATCCATACTTGGTGTTCTAAACATATTTATATCACCAAGCTTAAGGGGGAGTTAGTTACCATACAATTAGTTAAATTAGTTACCGTACAGTTAGTTAAATTAGTGACTATGTAGTTATTTAAGTTGGTTATTGTAATTAACTAGTCAGCTGGTGTATATATAGTCAACTACAATGAACAGAACAACAAATAAATGGGATATTCTCTCACGAAATAAGATTCAGCTTTCTCTTCTTCTTCATCCTCTTCTACTTCATATTACTAACATCAGTTTCTGCCTTGAGGCGAGCAGAGCCATTTCAATCAAGTTAGATATCGAAGTGTAGTTCATCAAAACTCTCAATTTGAACAATGGAAGCAGAGGTTTATACAAATTAATGCTATATGACATGAAAGAAAAAGAACAATTTAGAAATAAAATCGTGAGTGATTCAACACACTACTTTTCGTGGTTGATATAATAAGTCTTGGATTGTTCTCAAATGGAAAGAAACTTAATTTCTACATAGAGAGTCTTTCGACATAACTATAAATGCCATAGATGTAACTCTCCTTAGGAAGAGCCTTGATTTTTAATTCCTTCCAACTCTTTCTTGTGACATCATAACACAAACATAAAACACCCGGATTTAAGTTCAGAGTGAAGAGAATATCTGCATCGCTAACTTTGCGTAATGATGTGATTTGAAGATAAGATTTAGATGATTGCAACACTAATATATCGTTCCATGTTGAAGGAAAACGAATGATATGTCTCTCCCATTTTCTTTTTGGAGTCTGCTCTAAAATCCACAAGTCCAAGTATCCAATTACCCATTGTCTGTAATCTATGACCATTAATTTACCATTCACCTCTATCAACTCGTAATAGTACATTGACTCACGCAATGCATTCCACAATGCAATAGTTTCGGATTTTTCAGATTTAACATCAATTGCGGCTATAGCACCACCATCAATAAATTGATAGATAACTCCACTAACGCAAACACTGGGTTTAGAATACGGAATAGAAAAGGATATGCTTTGAGTCTCTCTCCATGATTTGTCTATGCCTAAAGTGAAAACACATTGTCTTTGTTTGTTTCTTTCATACGTTGAACAAAAAACTTTGAACTTCTTTTCTTCTGGCTCAAAACCTAATGAATAGTTACAAGGACAAAATTCTTCCTTTATGTTGGGAAGAAATCTTACTTCTCTGGTACTCGGATTGAAAATTGCAGCAGGTCGTATAGATAATGGGTCCCAAATGCAAAATAAACCATTAATGCAATTCATCTGAGAATATGCAAGAACATGGACGTCGAGGTCATTAAATCTCGCAATTTGTAAAAATGGAGCGGAATCTTTTTCATCTTCTCTTTGCCCAACAGTGCAAAAAATTGATTCCCTTCCGCGCAGAAAGAATTTTGTTCCACCAGGACGGCTCATAGAACGACAAGTATGAATATTCACAAAAACAGATTCTGAGACAAGAGACTTACAAATTTTTGTAATACACTTGAAACGCAATAAAGACTCCACCGGAAGCCATGTGAATATTTCAAAGATAATTTCTTCAGGAATTGATATATTCATCATTTTATTCATAGTTAGACGTTTTTTTTAGGTCTAAAATCCTTGGCGTATATTTATGAGTTGATTTGTTTCGGGGTTTAATACATTAGGAGTTTTTTTTCTCTGTCAAAAAACAAAATAAAATAAAATAGTAGATGTTTTCTATTAGAATAAGGAGGAAAAAAAAGTAGTAGACCTTTTTTCTTAAACCGAAAAGGGTTTTTTCATTTGTTTTGCAGGATGTCAGTAATGTGCGTCAATACAAAATGGCTAAGTGGTTATTTTTATTGGAAAAATTAGAGAAATCTCACATTTTAGTTTACTTATTACCATTATCCCCTATAAGTTTACAAATCTCCAAAATTCCTCATTTTCGCGTATCAGATTAATGTATTATTAATGTATCAGCGCTTATATTATTGTATCTCGCGCATCAGATTAATGTATCAGAGTTTATATTATTGTATCTCGCGCATCATATTAATGTATCATAGCTATATTTATTGTATCTC